TTTTTCAAAGTCCGTTTCAAAAAAGTTGTAGTAATCAATTTTTCTTTAAAAACGCGGTCAAGAATGATTTTGACAGTTTTGGTTAGCGGAACGTTTGTGAACAGTGAAACAACATCAAACGAAACAAGGCGATAACCTTCTGAGAAAAGCTCTTTAGGTATAGATCTTATTTCCTAGCCTCCTCCGCAGGCAACTCTGTGGGGGCCTATAATAGGTAAAAACTTACCAAAAGTACTCTTTATTAACTTCATATTCAATAAATTTGCATTGCAAACCACTTGAAAACAAGAAGAAATTTTGATATTTCGTATAAGTTCATATACGAGTTATTTTGACCGCGCACAACAAAAAAGTGTCCTGGAGACGAGGATGAGGGAAAAACAGGGGGGGGGGGAGAAGGACGAAAACGAGGAAGGGAGAGTTGCCTGCCAAAAATCGACATGCTAGTGTACCACTGCGCATATTGCTTGCGCACGACAAATTGATCTGAGCGGGGTAGGCAGGGGAGGAATTTCATACACGTTTTTGGAAAGGCAATATGAAAGATGCAAGAGAGAATTTAAACTCGAATTTAAATCCGTCTACGAATGAATTTGAAAGACTCAAAACTTTACCACCTCTTTTCCCTAAAAGCTTTGTTCAGTATTCCGTATCAATGGGAGAAATCAACTCAGTGGTCATGGCTAGTTCGACATTTGAAGCTGCCATTAAATTTGCATTTTGGTTGAACGAAACTCGTCTCTTTCAAGCGAATTCAACAAACGTAGAAATTTCCTATGGTGGCGATCGCTATATTTACACCGTCTCTTTGGATGGAGGAAAGCCAGATGTTGAGCTATGTTACATGGTCAGAAAGTCTCTCGTCGGTGAGGACGATGTTACAGATCAACTGATCGTTAATGGCGTGAATGAAAATATAAGTACAGGTGTTCATATCGACCTTGAAACTAGTGAGCTGATAGACACCACTCTTAAACAGTTCTTCTGCTTTTCGTCGTTTCTCCCGCTACAAAAGGAAACAATAGTGTCTACAATGCAAGGGGAAAATGTCATGACTATTGTAGGGACTGGTGGTGGGAAATCGTTAACCTACCTTCTTCCTGCTGTCCTCTCTTTTAAACCAACTGTTGTAATATCATCAATAAAATCTTTAATAGATGATATAATAAACAGATGTTTCGACCTCAACATATATGCATGTAAGTTTACTGGAGATATATCAAAGCAAGTGCACAAAGAACAGTTGCAAAAATTTCAAAGTTATCGAGTTGTTGTGGTAACCCCAGAAGTTCTAAGGGATGGAGAATTAAGAAAGGTCGTTGAGGCTAATGTGGCAGAAGGGAAGATAGATAGAATAGTTTTTGATGAGGCACACACTATTGTAAGCTGGGGCGACACATTTCGCCCAGATTATAAGGATGTTTGTGAACATTTTGCAAAACTGACAGGCTGTCCTAAGCTACTGTTGAGTGCAACAGTTCCGGGTAAAGTCGAATCTGCAATTCAAAATATTTTTCCAAATCTGACCGTTTTAAGAGCTTCTGTTTTCCGGGAAAACCTTGAACTTTGTGTTAAGGAACGCACAAGCACCTTCTACAATGAATTGGTGAGCTTTATTTCCGAGCACATTGATGAATGTGGTATTGTTTATTGTGTGCTGCAAAGAGATGTGTCAAATGTTCATGTAGAGCTGTTAAAACGAGGCATTAACTGTATTAAATACCACGGACAGCTATCAGAACATGTTAAATCAGTTAACTATTCAAAGTGGATGAGTGGGGAATGCAAAATTATAGTTGCAAACTCTTCATTCGGTATGGGCATTGACAAGCATGATGTGAGATATGTAGTCCATGCTAAAATGCCAACCAGCATAGAGGAGTACTACCAGCAGTGTGGTCGTGTAGGACGTGATGGTCTATCGGCAAAATGTATTCTATATTACACATATGCTGACAAGAATATACTTTTGAAGCTCTTCAAGCACCAAGATGATCTAACGCCCCAAATTGCTGCTGTTGATGAGCTTGTTAACCTATTAGAAGACCCTGTACAATGCAGACACAAATGCATTATGATGTATTTTGGTGAACCAAGGGAGAACTTTTCATGCGGACATTGTGACAATTGCAGTCATCATGGAAAGTACTATTTGACAGACGGTACAACAGATGCTATGAAGGTAGTTCAATCTATGGTTGAATTGACTGGGAGAACAGTTGTGTGCAAGACACTTAATTTTTTTTTAGCAGGAAGTAAACGCAAACAACTACAAGAGGATGAACTGGATTTATTGTCGAGTTTTGGTATTCTTGAAAAAAAGTTTGTACCTCTTATTATGTTAGAAAAGTTCTTACATTCACTGATATACAATGGTGTGTTAGCTGAGAATGTTGTTAAAAAGGGCCAGAGTGTGTTCCTTCAATTAGTACTTGGTCCAAAGGCACATGATATTCTAGCCCTAAGGATGAGTGTCACAAAGTATGAGAAGCAATTATACTAAATTTATATATACTACATATAATTTACTAGTCACTTGAAATCCCAGCCTTGGATCCCTTAATTAAGTATAGAAGTCCAGAGATGTTTTGTCCCATTTCAAAATACTATAGAACTGTTAAAAACCCCTACTTAACAGCACAGTTCATATATGATTTTTATTTGCTGCGAAGACATAACATGCCCATAATTAATTCTTTACTTTCTGATTCACTTGTGCTGTTGTATGACAAAGGCACATTAATAACAGAATATAAGTTTTAACTTTTAAGTAAGTTTCCAAGGGATTAGCTAGCTTTCAATTTACTAGTAAATAATGCCAAAAACAATTTATTTGAATGCACCTGCACTGTCAAGAATACTTGTTACAGTAACGATTTTTGTCAAAAATAAAGTCTCTCTTAGAGAATGCACAATTTTTTAAAGTTGCTTGCTGTTAAAGTGTATATGCAATGAAAATTTCAATTTTGTGATTTTTGCATTATCTGAAAATTTCATCTTTTCTGAGCCTTGTATAGCAGAATATATATGAGAATACCAACCTTGTTGAATACTTCGAACTAGAAGTTTGTGAATTTTGCGTTTAAAGTTGGGCTACGAAAATTTTAGCTGATGAAATCCTCGCGCGGCCAAGAGGTCATGATGACGTATGCAGTGTGACACAGTGCACTCTTCCTATGATGATGATTTAATGATTTAATGAGATTCGGCTAATATAACGCCAGGGAGTTCGCCACAGGTTTCCCCAATTACGGCGACCCCATAATTAACTTTACGTTTACAATAATTTTAACAGTCGAAACGAACTAATTTAAGACAAAATACAATCGGTGCAAGAGACAACTAACAACAACTATCTGTAAATACTATAAACAATGTAGCTTCAACTGCGTTGAATTGGGATTTTTTGATAATTTAAACAAAATCCAAATAAATCTGCCTTATGTAGATGCGATACATTGGTAAATCAATGCAATGATATCACCATACGACGATTTATCGCTTATAAGCCGCCGAAATGCGAAATCAATGTTGTAGTAGCAGTGTAGGTTTCAGATGTCGTTAGTTGTGGCATATTGTAGATATTTTCGTTGTATATAGTCCATTGTAGATAGTTGGATATAGCTAGAATTTATACAGTCCGTACTATGACAGAATAGGCGAAATGAGATTAATTGAAGTAAACGAAGTTGAGTATACCAAGAACGCAATAAACTATTAGGAATATAAGTACTAAAGTACCTCAGTTCGCACGTCATACCACAGTTAAGCTCGTTGCTTGTTTACGCTTCAAGTATGTCATGTTTTCGTCTATTTGCGTTTGCTGAAACGTGCCGTATCTATATACTGTTTACGCGCAATTTATTCCTTAGTCACTGGTTGTGTACTAGCTGCGTCAAATGAATACTATTTTGGGCCGTAATTAATTTAATTCCTTTCTGGCCTTATCAGTCAAGAAATTATGTTTTCACAACAGGCGTATTAATTAACCACCGAGGCCGGAGCGCTCTATATATACTTCTTAGTCGATCATACTCACGCGACAGAGTCCGAGTGAAGAACCATTTATTTGACTAGGTTAATTTATACTTATAATTTACAATATCAGTTTACGTAACATAGTGTACACTTTTTATCACGTTCTCAGTTCTCTGCTGTGATTATTTATATCCAGTGTTGCTTTGAGACGGATACCTCTTCCAGATTTCATTATACAGGCATGCTGGAAGCGGTCTAGAGTTTTCACATCCGAGCATGGCGAATAACGCCGAATATCCATGCATCCACCGATATACGCCACTGCACGAAGGTATCAAAGTATCTAAACATTAACAATCGAACACTGAGACTGAGTTATTACCTTCACGAATGCACTGTTTCAAAGCAATAGATAGATTAAAATACACGTTTCAAAATCTTACAAAATACAACCATTTGCGATTATTGCGAATATATATAGAAAATACTGATGAAAACTGACCAAAATTTAGTGAAATTAATTTGACTTACTCATTTTGCCCGTCTTGAGTTCTGCTTGTTGATTTGCGGTAATATACTGTTCGAGTGTTCGGTGCGTAATAACAGGATAGTCCCAGTGCTATATAATACATTCAGCGTCTTTTCCATCGTACGTAAATTTGGCCATACATTCAAGAATCTCAAATGTGCACCTAAAATCAATTCACATGTTAAACGAAACACGCTAATAAATAATTCGAGAAACGCTTTGATATTAGACTGCTTTGTTAAACTTACCATGAACTAACAGCTACGGTTTTCGTAAATCTTGCCTCAAGACCGTCTTCGCCTGTTTCGTCTTCCTCATAGTCATTAGTCACGATCAGCAACTGGCTCGAACTGATAGGGCTGTACAACAGACGATTGTGGCTCAACAACGTCCTCGTTATCTGTTGGCTGTTCTGTATCTGTCTGTGATTCAAAGCTTTTGCTATCGGACATTTTTTGCGTTTTTAATTAAGGAAAAATATACAAGCTACTGTCTTGCGATTAGTGATATTTTGTAGTTTTCATTCAAGTAAACACTTGGATGTGTCACACTGCATACGTCACAAGGCCGGAATTTTCGGTACCAGTCTTTTCATCAAGTAACGATTCAAAATAGCTGTATTTGTCGTACATTTTAGGTCATTTTCAATACTTTTAGAGCGCTTTTACTAACTAAAAATATTTTTACCTAGTTAAGGGAGGTCATTTCTTTCCAAATTTCGAAATTTTAAATTTTTCATTTTTCCTTGCATATACACTTTAACATTGTTGAACATTTGTTCCCATACCTCATAGACAGATTTTCAGATTTTGCTCTGGTGGGGGTGCCGAAAATTTATGGGGCAAGGTGAGAGACAGGGTACGTAGAGCCATTGAAAAAGCTGTAGCAGGGGTCTGGGGGCACAGTTGCCAAAGGGGGTGAAGCTCCAAGAATATTTTGGGTCTTGTTTTCATCTTAACTGGTTCAAAACCCTTATTTCAATCACACTACTTTCATTTATCCCATTCCCAATGACCATTTAATTTTTTTTTATGGGGGGGGTAGGGGGTATAAATTTGTCTAGGGGGTGCACCCCCAAGAAAATCTGTCTATGCCATACCTCACAGTAGGTAAAGCTAATTAAGTGTGGACAATCAAAACCTCCAGAAATTTGCATAACACAACTAGTTGTGACGACTGGATTATCCACTTTATAAAAGACAGAACTTTGACCAGCCATCTAAAGCATATTATTTGGAAATTTTCATTCAAGAAACGAGTTAAAGTCATCTGCAGCTTTGACTTCTCCTTTTTTCATAACCTCAGTATACTTGGGCTGCACTACCTCCCCTTCTTTGTATTTTTTATCTGTCCAAGGATATATCAAAACAGCTTTTCTATCCATGGAATGAAACCACTTTTCCTTAGGTGAAAACTGTGCAACTTTCAATTGCTCATACATGGACTGTGGTTTTTTGTGTTTTTTTGTTGTATGAATATCAAAGGCATCCTTATATTTGTACATCTCTCTATTCAGTTCTAAAAGGTCAATGCTGCATGACATTAGTTCTACCATCACAAATGAGCTTTGAGCTGACGAAAATTGTTTTACTGGCCGCACTAGGTACTCCTCCACCCATTCATCACCTGCCAGTTGTCTACCCTGTTTGCCATCCAAATTAACTGTTCGATTTTGCCTGTACATAAGCCGGTAAGCCAACGGCCAGTTTGCAATAGCATTAACCGTATGTGTAAACGCCTCGTCTCTATAGTTTATCTTACCCATTTGTGCATACAAACCAGGGCATAACATCCATACCCCTTCAATTGCAATGCCGTACCTTATCGACTCTTTATACCACCTTGTGATTGGCATTAGATCATTGATATTTTGGGAGTGATATTTGAAAACATCATCTTCACTTTCTTTTTCTTTCAACCATGTCTTCAATTTCTCCAGCAAAATATTGTTGTGGTTACCATTTTCACTCAGGCATGCATCAAGCTCTGTAGAGGTAGGAAAATATGGTGACTTTTCAAAACATTTCAACATTGATATGGAGAGGCCATCGTCATAATCATACAGAGCTTCTTCATTGTTATTATAGTGGTTCTCTTTAAACTTATGTTTGAAAGACTTCGGATTGACTGTTGGTCTCTTTAATACATGCTCCACAACATGCCAAAAACCACCAGGGCCAGCAGCCCTAGCAATACACTTGTTGATGTACCCACGATTATGAAAGTCACCACCACCTATTGGAAAAAAAAACAACTTTATGATTACATGTAAACATGCAGCCACAATGTTATTGTTAGAGAATTAGGCGGGGGGGGGGTCATGGTACCCAAGCCCTTAACAAGGGAAGGGGGTTTGACATCCATATATTGTTTGGTCAATTTTTTTACATTTTATAGCAGTTTTTATAAGAAATAGGATAACCCCCTAGTTATAAGGAACATATAAAGTTCAAAGATTGAAATAAAAACTTCACATTTCATTGTTTACACAGAAACATGTAAAATTTATATCTGTATCATAAAATCCCACTATAAACACAGTAGTCATAGCTGGTCTCACAGTATCGTACCTGGTGTGTGACAGCCATAGATATCAGGGCAACGATTTGCACAACCTTGGACTAACACTGTGTTCTTTTGGTCTCCTACGTTGATATTAAGTTTGTTGTTTTTTTCTTTGCTATTTTCACATTCCATTGATGCGGCCTGTTTTACTTCGCGCCATTGTCCAAAACAAAGAGACTTCATGTCAGAAATAATTTTATCCTCTTCTTGTATCTTGCGTTCTATTACGTCGATCATGATAGCGTCTGAATGTAACTTTGCGATTTCAAGGGGAGCGACGGCATTTGTAAAAAACGCCTCCCTTACTGATGCTCCATTTTCCACTAACACTTTCGCGGTTGCTGTGTGGTCCATATGTAGTGCAAGTGTAAGAGGCGTCTGGCCTATACCATCTTGGATATTTATAAGCCACCAGAATAAACAAGACATCGGACTAGCCGTGTGTTGCCGTTCATAGCAGCTATATGCAACACCGTCCTTACGTACTGATCGCGAGCAGGGAGCCATTGCTTTTTAATGCCGTTATACGTTCTGTCAACGACTTATCTGTTATATAGACAGATGTTATATCTCTAAGTGCTGCATACACAACCTTAAAACGCTTATCCAACTCATCATTTGCATCTTTAAGACCTATTTTACATATTAAGTCCGACCATGATGTTTCATCCATATTCATAAAATATAATCACCGAAATTCACAGAACAACAGAATTGGACAGTGCTCTCACAATCAAATTTTCGAATTCCTTAGAAAAAGCTCGAAAATTCCTCAGATTTCCTTACACTAAAATTCCTTAAATTGGTAATATTACTACACTTAGGTCTTGTTACATAGTTGCAAAAAGTCTTTTTTTCTCCTTTTTTGCTGTTTTTCAGTTTTCAACCTTGTTTCTAAGCACAAAAAACAACTCCTTAAAAAAATTCTTAAAACTCTTAAAAATTCCTATTTTCAAGGATAATTCCTTAAAAGTGACAGCACGGCACATCCGAAGGATTCAAATTCCCGCCAAAACAACACCGCGGCAAAAATTTGTTTCCATCTACCAAACTGACATTACGTCAATAGTTAAAAAAACGTTTTCCAGTTTATTTGTTTGGATTTTAAGTAAGGCTTAGGGTTTACGTTTGGGTCAAGGTTTGTTATGTTTTTAATAGTAAGTATTAACAGAAATGGATAACAGCAATGTCACTTTGATAGATGGAAACAAGTGATGACCATAATGGTGGGAATCTAGACAGTCTAAACAACATGAAAAGCGATGTTTTCAATGGGAAATTTATAATTACCATTAAACGCACAACTACAGCGATAAAAATTCGCTGGATAAAAATCCGAGGTACCCCGATAAGGGAGGAAAAACTGAGCATAAGCGGAAAGTCTAATCGACTTTATGTATAAACTATATAGTATACTTACTTTAAGGAATGTTCGTTAAGCCTTAAGCCGTTAAGGGGAACTTTTTTAGGACATTGTGTATTCATGTAAATGCAAAAATGGTTTCATATACTTTTAGACTTTAGTAGCATTAAATATATTACTGTATAATATACACTCTACAATTCTTGTGAATCAGTAATTATTTTTCTGTTTTGGTGTAAGTACTAATGTAATGTACATTACACCAACACAGAAAAATCATTCCTGATTATTAGATTACATTGATATCGAAGGAACTAGATTCTGTTCCGAAATATCACATACTCGAACCGATCTGACCGCGTAGCTCAGTTGGCAGAGCATTGGGCTAGTATTGCAAAGGTCGTAGGTTCGATTCCCACTGTGGTCAGGCATATTTTTCATGCTTGCCTGGTGTGGATATACACTCAGAGTAACATCACAGGCATCTTGTGAATCCTTTTCATTAATAATGCCTATATTGCTATAATATATAAATACTGGTCTGTTTAGTCCTCGTCACTATCAGAAGATACAGTTTCCTCAACCATAACTCCAACTTCGTCAAACGTTTGGGTTTCTTCGCTGGAACTTTCGTCTAAAGTCCTTCTTAAAATCGTGTCGTAGTATGCTTGCTGCTCTTTGTGTTTCTCAAGGCTCTTTATGAATGCGAAACGTTCGTACGCTTTATCAATTGCGAACGCCTTTCCTGATTTCCTCACGGGCATATATTGCTGATTTTCCTGTGAATGAAAGCTGAACTCTTCCGTGAACTTGTCTAAGTTACCAGCCAAGCCGACCGTGGTGCATTGGTTCTCATGGGAGATCGGCAAAGGGTATATGCTCGTTTTCGTCTTTGCCATGGAAGGAAATTCCTCGTCCACTGGGGGGACATCAGTGATGTATTTTTTTTTGTTCATGGGAAGATTTCTTCGGGCTTCGGCAGCTTCCGCAAATCTCTCAAGATCTTCATTTGATGCACTCACTATTTCGTCCTCCGTCTCAACAATGCAGTTTAATGCTACATCAAGCCTACGCAACATGTTTCGTTCCTTGAAACCTAAAAATTTTTGGTTCTGATCTTTGTTGTTCTCTGCAAAGAAATAATATCAAACAGTTAAATGTTACATACCCTGCTTATATGTTATCTATTTAATTCACGGTGCTAACCGATCTTAGTGTCCTCATATTTTAGGCTCTTCACTTCTTGCTGGGGTTTCAAAGCCAAGTCATCCTTTTCAAAGTTTGCCTCTATTCCACTTATGTCTGCTTCCCTCCATCCTCTGACTGTGAAGTCCCACATCTTTCCTTGCTTTAATTTATCTTCTTGTAGTTTAGAAAGTCTCAAATGTCTTAATGGCGTGCGGAACATTTGCATGTTGTCCTGGTAAGTAATAACTGGTGTATTAATTCCTACACGCTTGGATATTATTTTCTTGTAGTTTCTGAGTTGACTTTTTAAGACACCTATCCTAAAATGCAATATTGAAAACGTGAGTGCATGAAAAACAATAACCATTAAGCGAAAAAACGGCACTTGTGATTAATGAACGTGACCAGAAGGCAGAAGCGATGTAGCAGCATGTTTGGGGCTCAGTAAGAAATACACGCAACCCAGAAAAAGGAACATAAACCATATGGTTAACGGTCTGGCCGGAATTGACACCGTAGCTCAAAAGTCAGGTGAAATTTCAAAAAAATCAAACGGTCTGAATCTGTCCTACTTCAGTTAATTCAAGCCCGAATGTTCTCTGCCTCTGGGTCTCAGCTGCAAGTCCTATTATGCTGTTGCGCGATATTGAAAAAAATACGGAACATACCGGTAGATAAATAAGTAAAATATATACATATACATATATATATATACATATATATATATATATACATATATACATATATATATATACATATATACATACTATCAAATTTAAAAGCAAGGACAAGGTGGAAAATCTTACGGTTCAATATACAATAGAAGTCAACTCACAATGTAGGGAATGACTCGGAAAGACCAATGCGTTGCAGGATTCTTATCATTGCTGGACCAGCGCCGTAACAAATGAACAGCAACCCAAATAGGAGAGGAATGTCATTTCTACTGTGCTGATCCCGAACATCCAATAACGAAGCTAGTAAATGGACTGCTGCTTTCATCTTCAAGCTCTCGGTCTTTATTGTGTTTCTTGAAGTATTAGAAGAAAGCACTAACTGTTCCAATATATTTGTAATTGTAGGGCAGGCAGTTCGTACTCCATCCACAAGGTCTTTGAACAAATGAGGGTTGAATATATCATGAATATCACATAAGGACTTTTCATCACGTATATGCAAATTGAAGACCTCCTTAGCTTTATTAACTTCTTCCTTTATTGAGTTTCTTTCTGACACAGTTAAAAGTCCCCCAAGTAATTTTGATGTTGTAACTATTTCCTCTTGCAAACCAATTACTTTATCCTGCTCATTTATGATTTCTTGAACAGTGCTATCATATGCTCTAAACGTTTTTTCTTGCTCCTTTAATGCCAATGATTTTGATGCGTTACCTTCCTCATTAACAGTGTTCTCAACCTCTTGCGTTGCATGTAGCAATTCTTCCATACCAAAAGGTTCTGTTGGATCTTGGTTTGTACCTACAAAGGTTAAGAACACATTAAATTACTTTTTCATGAGATATCATGATATTGCATGCAAGTTAAATGAACCTGAATATGATACTGACCAAATTAAAGACCAGATAAATCAAAGATTTGATATCTGAATATATATACAGTAGCAACACAAAATGTGTCTCAGTTGTTTGGAAATACTCAACAAATATACAGAAAGTTCTTCAAACATAACTACATTTCCAGAATTTCTAGGTTGAATAATCTTTCCCTGAACAAGAATTACTTTACAGCACAAAACAGGCATGCAGTCGATTACCCGTACCGGTGATTAAGAAGGGATAATCTGTAACACCACTTTCTTCACTAAAACTGTCAAACAATATACCTACACAAAAAAAAACACATAAGGGTAAACTCATGAAGTAACTTAGTTCACTCACAGTTATTTAATTAATAGGGTTGTTCACAGTAACTATTAGTTTTAGACTTTCCATAATTATAGCATCTTTTACCAATTATTAGACCTTTAATTAAATCATTAATTAATGCTCATACATATTTAGGATATACAATTACTATAAAATACCTTTTCTTGCTTTGCAAGGAGGTTTGACAACATTGATAGATTTAGGCACTTCTGAAAAGAATGAATTTACCATAATTTAATTAACATATTTAATTAAACCTCAATTTGATCCAACGTAAGAGTTGTGTGTTAACCCAAGAATCTTGGTCAGTTTGGCATGTAACTGTTTTGCACAGAATGTCGGTGACAAGCAAGTGCAATTTAAGAAAGTTTTGGTTACTTGCTTTAACTTATTTTTCATTTGAGAAAACCTATACTGAAATTAGGTCCGTCTTCCACTTCCAAGATGACATTTCGGGAACCACACAATTCTTATGGTTATATTCTGATGTATAACTTTTTTTTAGCTTTTTATATATTTTGATTATAATCTGTACCTGTTTCATCTTGACTTGCAGTGTCCAACTTGCTATCCTCTATGAATGCAATTCCCCTGTAATATGGTCTGCAAAAATTTCAAATTTAAAAATGGTACTTTAAAAAATGTGGCACAGTCGATCTGTTTGTGCTGCATTTTTAAGCTTATAGTTCACATTCTTTTTAAAAATAATGTTATTAATCAGTGAAGTGGTGGTACCATAATATTTTTCTGCTATCACAGTACAATAAATGATCAAAGTAGCAAAAGTGAAATTTGTATTCATGGCAACTTAATGTTCTAAAAAACGTTTATGTAAAAAGTTCCCAGGTCATATCATACAATATTAATAGAAATAAAATCAAGTTAAACTTACTTTTTCTTCCTCCCCATGTATTCAACCTTTTTCCCATACATTCGTGACAAGGTGGTTAAGATGGTGGAACGTTCAAAGCCCTTCACACCGGGGAATGTATTCTGGAGTTTATCAACAAGTTCATCAACCATAATAACAGAGCCTTCTCTTTTCTCAATTATATTATCCAAAGCCTCTTTTAGGTTGGCTTTAAATTTGATGTGACTTGGATTAACTGTAAATATATATAAATAAACATGATGCAGAATTACTTAAACAGTGGCTGATAGTTGCAATACATATAATAAGTTGATTTTAATTACACCATACATTTGTGTGAATTATTATCCTCCCCCCATGGATGAGCTGATTCCTGCATGTCATATTTTGACTCAAGGCCAATTCATATGGGTCTGGTTTACCACCTGATTACCATGCTATAGTAATTACCAATATTTATCATCTGAGTCCCATGTGGATAACCTTTTAAGCAGATTCATACAGGAAAGAAATGGATATCATTCGATAAATGGTAAAGAAAGGTGCCAGTCTCCTAGAAAAATATGAGCCTCTTGCATTCATATAAAATACACCACACAGCTTATAAAAAATATGTAAAGAGTTTATACCTTTCCGTTTGGTTCCGCCTGGAGTGTAGATAATTTGTCTAGAGGTGTGCGATGATCCAGTACCTTTAAACTCCTCATCACTACGACCTTCCTGTTGGTTTATACGGAGCTTAAAAGCCTCGCACGCGTTTCTTCGACAATCTTCCATTTTTTCCTTCATTATTTTAAGTTTATGTTGACTTTCTTCAATATTTGTCTTTACTTTTCTAGTGTTTCGTAGAACCTTTTTGTATTCAATGCTACAAACAGGTATTTGTGTTCTAACATAACGCGGTATGTTAGAACGAAGTCCATCTTGATCGAGATCAAAGTCGAGATCTTGCTCGCAGCTGTCCGCCATCACGCCATGTTGTTGAACAATTTTGCACTTACCCTACCGGGGATGAATTGACAAGTCCAAATGGTGAAGCGAGACGTCCTTACTTGTCGATTTTTGGCAGGCAACTCTCCGCCTTCCTAAATTTCTAGCTGTCCCTAATCCTCCCCCATCGTCACCTGATACCCCCTTCTAATACCCCGTTTTCCCCTCATTCTCGTCTCCAGGACACTTTTTTGTTGAGCGCGGTCAAAGTAATTCATATAACCAGTATACGAGTTTGCAATGCAAATTTATTGAATATGAAGTTAATAAAGAGTACTTTTGGTAAGTTTTTACCTATTATAGGCCCCCACAGAGTTGCCTGCGGAGGAGGCTAGTCCCTCTGCGCCACCACGTCTTACACGGAAAATATGTTAATTTATTGTATATATACAGGTTATTCTTAGCCAGCGCGATTAAAGATTGCGTAAATACGTACACCATCGTACACGGCCAAG